AGTTACTTGTTTTTTTTCCATAATAAACATATATTGAAAAATGCTAAATTTATCTAATGTAGATTTGTCTCAGGTCTTTTGAGCGCTTGTTAACATTTCAAACCCGTTCATTTTCTGTATGTGTTTGACCCAAATCGGGAACCACTAATTTGCGGCTGTTAATCATATTTGTTTTTCATCTAAAATTTTTACACAAAAGTACGAGGGTAAGAATGCCCTTTTCCGTCGGGCGTCAAACGGTCATTTTCTGAAATGTTTCATGAAAAAATAATACGATTGACAGCCACGAATTACTGATTCCGTGACTCGGGGGTCGTAATGGGGTTACCTTCATGACGAATAACGGTAAAAATTTGGACTATTTATTTGTTAAATCCCGTTTTTTGATCACTTAAAACTTTGAAACGTAAGGCAATAAAGGTAATCATTGGAGACATTCCGACAATAACTGACAGGAAAACTACGTACTTTCGACATGGATTCCGCCAACTGACATTAGTTCGAACATTGATATTTCTGTCAACTGACGGTGCATCGTTTGAAGTGTAAAAGCACCAGCAGATTTACGTGTGCGCTTACTCTTTAATATCGCAATAACATACTGAAATATTCTAACTTTCGTTTTAAAAAACGCATTTTTTCTAAAACCGGAATATGACTTGATTGCTTTAAAGATCTGCACACAAACGGAACAACTAAATCCTCGTATTTTTGTCAAGCATCATTGAGTTGATCTCGTACTCTCTGCGAAGATACTCGAAATAACATAAAATGCATTGTTTAATTAATGAAAAATCTGTTTACAATTATTTTGAAACTTTCGGATGCAGTTAAGGTGCACATGCGAAGATACGTAACCAACGCGGTTTGGATTAACCCGAATAATCAAGTTGTTTTATTCCGATTACTCCAACGAGAAACGGCAGTGGATGGAGGGCGCTGAATCCTTAAAAACTTTTTAAAATGTAGCACCCCACCACGAAATGTAAATATCTGTGTAAATATCTGCTAAGTGTTAAACCTATATCCCAAGTGGGAGTGCTCCGGTATATAACGGAGGAAAATACTTGTACAGAACATTCGAGTTAGTTTCGGATAATAATTAAATTAACGCATACGTACTACCAAAATTACTTTAAAAACATCCGGTTACAAGTAAATAAATAACGCATGTAAGATGAGATGAAATCTAAAATTTGAAATAAATAAAAAGGTAGATATTAAAACATTTAAACATGAGAAATAATAATACTAACGATAGGGATTATTTTTTCAGGCCTAGCTGTACATTTGTTTTATAAAATGATGCAGATGGATGCTCTTTTAAAAACTTGAAACCAATCATGTGTAAACATCGGTGTCAAAATATAGCACGGAACTTATGAAATTGTAAATCACAGAAAGGGATACGGCAACACTCCTGGTGACGGTTCAATGATTTTACAGCCGGCAGTATAGGATTTCAGAAGACTTCAAAGTCTTCTTCCACCAAAAAACACACTGAGATTGAAAAACCTAAAAAAAATACACTGAGAATTAAAAATTACACACTGAGATTAATAAAGGCGCATTGAGATTACAAAAAATGAAAAACACACACTGAGAATTTGAAATTTCACACTGAGAATTTAAAATTACACACTGAGATTTCAAAAAGACACACTGAGATGAAATAAACTGAAAAACACACACTGAGAATTTAAAATTACACACTGAGATTTGTGCGCACTTTTTATGAAAACTTAATCTGAATCTATTCCACAAGCTTAAAACAACTAGGGGAAAAAACTCGTTAGTCCTTCAATTTGGCGCCAAATGTTTTATAAAAACATTAGAAATACAACGTATAGAAAAACTACGTTATTGAAGACCAATAGAACAAGAAAATACACACTTACTCTCATTACAAAATATAACCAAATGGTGAAAATCTTTATTAAAATTATAAGAAAACTTTGGAACAATCTGCAAAAAGACAAACAATGCAGTGAAATTTTTACCCAAGTGCCGATTATAGCATATAAACGTAACAAAAATATAAAAGATTACCTTGCGAAATCAGGGTAACAGTTGAAAGACTTTTGAAAAGGGACCCATGCTTAAACAGTTTTAAGCAAAACATCCAGATACACTGTTAGTAATAGTCTGAATTATAGGCAACGTACTTATGAATATGAGTTAGCAAAAAACGATGTTAAGTCTTGAAATTTATTACGAATGTTGGTTGAAGCAGAGATATATAATACAATTGTATCATATGTCTCTGGTTGAAAGACCCGCATTTCATTATAATGACGAGAGTTCGGGAGACCAAGATATTAATCTGTTGAATTATTCATCTCATAAATATTCATTAGTAATGTGCATATTAATCTCAGTGTGTAATTAACAATTCTCAGCGTGTGTTTTTCAATTTATTTCATCTCAGTGTCTTTTTAAAATCTCAGTGTGTAATTTTAAATTCTCAGTGTGTGTTTTTAATTTTTTTAAATCTCAGTGTGTAATTTCGATTTCTCAGTGTGTTATTTTAGTTTTTAAAATCTGTGTGTTTTTTTTTTTTGTGTAATTTTTTCGAAAAAAAGGGTTTAAACATAGTTTTGACGAGAACGGCTTGCAATAAAAAACCCTAAGATGGATGTACAAATATCGAACCACCACAAGAGTTATACCATCAAAAGGAACATTACAGTACAAAGACAAATAAAGGGAAAACTGTTGAGTAAATAAAATGATACACAACTTCACCACCTAGAATCTGGGACATAATTTAGCATCATAGTCCCAGCTAGAATCTACAACTCCATATCATCTTGTATTATTCGTGAAGTAGCAAAGTCTGAGTAGCAGTTTAGAAATGTATACTCCATACACGAGTGAAGTCTGGAATATTCGGCTGCTAAGAAAATTTATAATTCCAAATCTAAATCATCTCATTTGTTATAGACTTTGGTACTGATGACCGTCGTAGTCAAATTCGAGGTATATGTCTAGAAATGAGGTGGAAGAAGTTTTATCTGTGGTTTCTTTAATCTCTAGTTCAGGAAGATATGTCTATAGGACACAATCAGAGAAGTTTGGATTTTCAATGGATAGAACACTATCAATATACCTTTATGAGAAATAAAATTAATCTAGCTTCTTTGATTTTCTTGTTTTCTACAAGTGTCTGAAGGACCTCATACTCGTATGAAAATTGGAAAAGGTCGGCCAGGAGAGGCGCACAGTGGTTTCCAATATAAATTCTGACAACCTGTTGGAAAATTCTACCTCCGATTTCAACAATAAATAGGGAATGTGTCCATGGGACACAGGTGATTACTCGCTTGCATACAACGTTATAGAGACAGAAATCAAGGACAGTAAAAGTGACGCTACCCAAATTCGTACTTGATCTGAGTTTTGTGGTAATAAGCATTGTGAATGAGTTTCATAACATTTGGTTGATGCAAACTTGTTAGAGAACGGAAACGAAAAAATCAGCAGTTTTTCCATTTGTAAAGGGGCATAACTCTAGAACAGTAAAAGTGACGCCACCAAAATTCAAACTTGATCTGTGTATTGTGGTAATAAGCATTGTGTATAAGATTCATAACGTATAGTTGAGGCAAACTAAAGTCAGATAACAGAAACGAAAAAATCAGCAATTTTTCCATTTGTAAAGGGGCATAGTTCTAGAATGGTAATAGTGACGCCACCAAAATTCAAATTTGATCTGTGTTTTGTGGTCATAAGCATTGTGTATAAGTGTCATAACATTTGGTTGAGGCAAACTTGAGTAAGAGAACAGAAACGAAAAATTCAGTAATTTTTCCATTTTTAAAGGGGATAACTCTAGATTGGTAAAAGTGATGCCACCAAAATTCAAACTTGATCTGTGTTTTGTGGTAATAAGCATTGAGTAAAAGTTTTATAATATTTGGTTGAGGCATTTGTAAAGGGGCATAACTCTAAAACAATATAAGTGACGCCACCAAAATTCAAACTTAATCTGTGTTTTGTGGTAATAAGCATTGTGAATAAGTTTCATAACATTTGGTTGAGAGAACGGAAACCAATTTCGGGATGTACAGACGGACAAGGGTAAAACTTGATGCCCTCTCTGCTACGGCTGGGGCATAAAATTGTTGGTAATGGGAAACTGCGGATACTGATCACTTGTTCTTTGGTGTAGCTTTTCTTTTTTTTCTGACTAATTTTTAACACAATATGCCAAATTATATCCCAAAGCAAGAAATTTGTAGAATGTTTTACCTTTTTAATTATGGAGGAAAGTATTATGGATTAGTTCTTTTGGACAGGTTTTTAATTTTTCATGTGGTATGGTGGGGTAAAGGGTAGAAAAAAAAGGTTTTGAAAGAAATTATTTCAGAAAATAAGAGAAAGTTCTTTAGAGTTCTTAATAATCAACATATAGTGAATGTCACTATGCAAGTAAACAGTATCACAGTATTTCTGTAATCCCTCTTTTACCCAGGACAAAATCTTGGTTCAATATAACAGATAATTCCTTGGTAGAACACACAGATAAGTCAGCAATAAACCATTGTTTGTACAGAGATTTATGGAGTTTGAGTATCCAACTCAAACAAGGTACATCCTCAATTTTGTTGTTCATTGAAACATTCAATGAAGCCATGAGGGACTAATGGTTTGCCAAGATCTCATCCTTATCAAAAGTTATATTTGCACATGAGATTATCTGAGAGTTCATTTATTCCTAATTCTTTGATAATACACTCATAGTAAAAGGATTTACAGACAAAAACAAAATTGTTTGAAGCTTTGTCCCCGGAACAACAACAAAAACATATTTGAATTTGAAGTTCATTGGTTGACAACCCCAAATCAATAAACAGAAAACTTGGTTAAATTGAAAAGACATATCTTATGTTCATGTCTTCAGGGCTTAATGTTGGGTAGTTGTACCTCTATTCCATCACTAACAAATATTTAGCACTACAGAGAAACAAGGCTATACTTGAATAAAACATATACAAATATTTATATAATAATGATTTAAGTTTATTTTCAACTGGTATTTTTTCTGAAAGAAAATATTTTCCTATACAGCCCAACACCCACTTTGGGATTAATTAATACATTATGTATAAAAATTTAAATCATTATGTACAAATAACAACAACATCTGACTGGTTTCTATGGTAACTACTTCAGTGTAATCTAAAATGCAAAATATGCTGCATTTGATTATACAACTGGTAAAAATGGTTTTTTCTCTTAAAATAGTTCTAGCTTCTGTACTTTTAATGTCTTTTTATAATAAATCAAAATTTACGATTTTATCATAGTTCACATGTAAAATAATCTTGAACCTTTGAGATAACCTCTTCCTATAGAATATAAAGTTGTCTCCCTTAGGTATACATTTTTTCATCAATTATTAATTTATTACACACTCATGAATCACTTTCTTATGGACAAAATTGTGTTACATAAGCAATATTTTTCATCCTTAGATGCTGATGTCAAAAATATTAAATTTATAGATAGGTTTGGATATGACATAATTGGAGTTTGAGTTACTTCCCTTTGGCTGCCATTTTGGATTCTTATTTGACTAACCAAACTGAAATATGCAGTACAAAAAAAGTCTGATATGAGATCCATAATAATAGATCGTAGTGATGGATCAAGCAAGGCTAAAAGAAATTAAAATTGTTTAGAAAACAACATTTTTTCCAGTCTAGAGGGCAGTATAACAAGTCAAAATTGGCAGATTCATGACGAAACATTTGCACATAGACCTCCAACATGGCGACAAAAGGGAAGTAACTCTTGCTCAAATTTTGTCAAACAATACCAATCTATAGATATGATGTTACAAGACTTTATTCTGTGTCTTGGTAGTTACCATATAATCCAAACATTTAAGTAAAATATGTGTTAAAAGAAACAAATGCTAGGCTGTTGCAACAGGAAAACAAAGCTTCATTGTTGGCTTGCAGTGAACATAAATTAAGTACTTAATGTCTAATCCAGATATTATCCAATCATTTATCAGAGAATAATTGACTTCTTATAAGCTGGGTAATGATCAGTACCAGTATTAATTAACCATTTACCAAGGTCATTAACCAAGGTCATTAACCAGAACATTTTAGACTAATGATTAGGTGTCAGGAATATCTGACATGGGTTTTCCAACTATATTTGATGGTAAAGTTTCAGAAATTTCTGACCAAGGAGCCTTTAAGAAACCTGGTTATATAATTTCTAATAATCTTGACAAGGGTTTCTCAAATACACCTGATGAGTCTTCAGAAATTTCTGACAAAAGTATCCTAAAAAAACTTCTTAAACTGATTTATGTGAATTATATCATAGGGTGTCGGCGGTATCTAGTGGTATTTTGCAGAATGAGGAATAATTTTTTCTCACTTGTTCTGTCACGGAATAGAAGTTCCTTTATAATATAAGTTCCAAAAGGAAAAAATGTTCTGGGATATTATTTCCACAGGAATAAATATTACAGTATATGTTCCTAACGGAATAAATGGTATAGAATATTTGTTCCAACAGGAATAGATATTATGACATTGTTTATAACAAAGTTTCCAGTGGAACTTCTGTTAGGCGGAACAAATATACATTGACAGTTCATCTCTCAAACTTATTCAAAAATATATCCAATTATTCAAGGGACATCGATTATGTTTTCACGCAAGATATTAGGTAGGCTTAGGGTATCAACTTTAAATATCAAAAAAGTAAACAAAGAGTCTCTTATTTCCTTAAATTAAAACTGTCATCATAAAATCTGGATTACACATCAAATAAACATCCATGACCGTTCACCAACAGACTATTAATAAATCTATATTTTCTATAAACAAAAGTCTATTTAAAAGGATTAAAAGGGACAGCCAACATAAAAGCCCTGACTAGATTTCAGTTAAAGATGGGGAAGTATGGAGTGCCTAAAACAAACATCCTGTTTTAATTAATGAAAAAAAAAACATGTCCTTTTTTAAGTGCAAAAAATGAATTAAAGCAAACTCAATTTATAATGATATAAAAAATTAAATGAACAATTAAAATACACCAATGACTCAAATCTCACATACTATTTTCTTCGAGAAGATTTACCGGTAATATTGTAATCGTCATTTTTTAATGTTCGGGCAGATTACTATGAGGTGTCCTGAAATGACTTTTGAGCAAAATAAGAACATGGATTTAAGTTCGTAACAAAATGGCAGATATTTGTACCATAATTTTGTTGAAAAATTCACTGGATTAAGTAAACATCCATAATAAATGCACCTGAAACTTCAATATAAAAATAAGTGTTCAAATACAAATATAAATGGATTTTTGTTCATTTTGGTTTCATATTTATTTTTCTGTAATAACTTTGTATTGGTTTCTTACTGAAGCACTCTCTTCAAGAAAATGGTGCATCTATAAACCAAACAGATTTATTTTTTTTTATTAAACTGAGAGGAAAGTTGTCTTGTTTTGCTCCTACTTTTTCAAAAAATATTGATAATAAATGCTTAATACATTGTTCATAGTAAAATTTCCTATCAGAACTTCTTTTATACAACAAATAAGGAATTAGGCATGAGTAGAGATATAAATTTTGGCTGTGTGTACTGCCCAATAAGAAAAGGCGGACATGGCCACATGATGCACTGAAACAAACAATCTATTTACAAGTATACAGGATATATTCTCTCTATATATATCAAATTATATTCGGTTATGAGCATTTAAGGAAATTCATAAATTGTTCTGTTATAGTGCAATCTATAATTCACTCCAAATCATTATTAAATTACAAAAAATTTTATAAAATATTTCTTTTCATATCAATTACTGCTCTTTCTAAAGGTATGTATTTCCAATATAAAACTATAAAATTAACTATTGATTCCTTTATTTTGTGCTTCTCTGATATTCTATAAAACAGGATTAAAAATCAATAATCAACATATGTCTAATAAAACATGGACAACGGCTTATCTTAAATTTTCAATAATCTTGATACATTATACAATATCAATTAAAAAAGACTTCATTTATGAAAATGGTGTTATTTGAACTGAAGCAGCAAACCATCAACATCCTTTTTAACAATTCATGAAATTTCCTTAAAATGCTTATAATTTGAAACTTTATATATATATATATATATATATATATAATAATAGTATTATGGACGTAGCAAAAATAATGCTATTTCTATGTACAAATTTCATAGTGATTAACAATGTAATTATATATGTTTACATAAACATTTTTGTTTACATTATCAGCAATAAAAGAGACATAAAATGTAAAACAAACATAAACAAACAAGAAAATAAACAATCATTTATCACGTTTTCCTCCTGGTTATATCACTATCACACATAAGGGGAGATAACTAAGCTGTAATACAAAAATTATTTAAAATCAGACTTCAGTATGTTAAATGCATCTTTCAGTAACATAACTTTTCTATCAAATATTTTGCCCAACTAACAGAATGTCAAACATGCATGTTAAGGGTTTACAACCATAATTTGAAATTGGTAAAAACACTACATTTTTCATGCTTGCACATCCCCCCCCCCCCCCCTTCACCAAAAAAAAAAAGACCATTAACATACATATTATTAGCGGATCTTAGTAGGTTACTACGGTGACCATAAAACACTATACAAGTTATCTAATTAACAACTTATTCTCCAGCTGTGTTTAAGCTTTAAATTATTTTACCCTGAATTAAAAACACAAAGTTCTACTAGTATGAAAGTTACCTGAATGAATTGGCTCATACAATCACAATTAAGGTGCTTTCCATGTAAATTTTTCAGCTTTGTATGCTAAACATTTCACGAAATTAGACTAATATTTTGTAGATTAAATTGTTAGTTAAAAGTGTCAACTCTTCGTCCCTTTGGAGATCTCCATCTAAAGGAAATAAATTTGATAGGGGAGGTTCACTTCAAGGTTTATTTTCTCATTTTTGCAGTTAAATTGTCAAAGTTTAAAAATAATTCCTACAATCAGGTCTAAAATAGAATTATCTTACATATATATTTTTGGCTGGCCATTATCATCCAAAATTTCAAAATGATATTTCTTTGCAATTTGGCTATCTAATATTTTGTTTTCACTATTTAATAAAAATATTCCATTTATTTAAATTATGAATTTATATGCCCATGGAGGTGTATTTTACTAGATCTATCTGATGAAGGATACCACTTTCCTAAAAAAAAAAAAAAAAAAATATTCAAATATTCCAACACGTTTGAATAAAAACAGCTGTCTAAGATTTTAAAGGGACCAAAGATTGTGAGACAAGTATTATGAATGTATAAATAGAAGAAAAAGCATTAATATAGCCATCAGTTTGTTGTTTATTCAGTAAATCATTAATGATTGTCTGTAGCGAAAGTTAAAGGAAAAACTCCTACCAATATTTAATTTTCTCTAAGCAAACTAAATTTTGTTTCAGAATTGATAAATAAACGTTCTCAAGAACAGCACGTCCAAATTTCAACTTTTTTGTTTCTGTGTTCAACATCATTTGGAAAGTGAACTTTGATGAAAATCAATTATATTTGCTAGTAAAGCTAGGCAATTTTCTAAATATATGTATCATTCAATGGATAAAAGATTACACTTGTGAGGTGTTGTCTTTTACAATTGTGTAGACCAGACCTGCCAACTATCCCTATTTATGGGGGATACCTTCCTTAAGAGGTGTTGACCTGAATTTCGTAATTCTTTATTACATAAACTGAAGACCTCAAAACAGACATTCAAATGAGTTAAAAGGGTATTTAGCACATATATACTCATTTAAACAATGTAGTAGTAGATTAAGAACATGTATGACAATATAAGAGGAGCATTAGGTCCTCTTGCACTTAATATCCCCCATGGAGAGTTTGAAAAGTTGGCAGGTATGGTAGACAGTTGTAATCATTTTTTCCAAAACAACCAATACAACTGAAGAACGATTCCAAAAAGTGTTGTGAACTATCAAAGTGGATACATACAAATGAATTTTGAAAAACTTAATAAATTACTGAAAAAAAATTCATAAAAAATCCACTTCCTGCAATGGCGAGACACAAAGTAATTTTTGTATAGTATGCACACCAGAATAAAGCCTTCCTTCAAAATAAACAAAATAAAACCTTCTATTCCTATAAAAAGTCCAAATGTTTTTTTTCTTAATTATACTAAAAATACTTTTCTCTGGAATATAATCGAAACTAAACGAAGGAAGGAAAATTTAATTCATATGCAAATTAATTTCTCTAGAAAATATTATTATTGGTAAATAAATTTGATCTGCCAATATGATTTTATGCTCAATCAAAAATCTTTATATTTACACTTTTGGTCCTATCATAAATTCACTGATACTCAAAGTCAAAATATTTATAAATTCTGGACCATTGTTGAAAGTTGCTTAAACTCAGCCAAAAACACCTAACAGGACAAATTTTACACTGTGACCTTGTAACCTTGTGTACTCCTTCAGCAAACAAAGAGTTAACATACAAGTTAGAACAATATATTTTTTTCAAATTTGAGGTATTTTGTGGATGCCATTTTAAAAAGAACTTTTTTAAATACATAAAACTAGGGACTGTCTCAATAGGTCAAAATTATTTTTAAAAATATCATTTTTTGTTTATCCTATTCATAAAAATTCCTGAAAATAAATGTCTTAAACTGCTCTCCACATATACGTTATAAGAACTTGACAGCAATAGAAATAATCTTTGCAGATTGCTGCAGGGAATTGTGAGATACTCTATTTACATAATCTCTGGTTCCCAAGGTTACATTGATGATGTTTGAAATCTAACAGAACATTTTCAATTTTATTCATTATTAAATTCACGATTTGAATTATTGCAACAACCAAGTCAAAGGGTTTCAATTTCAATTTATGAATGTCCCTATTACAAATTTTAAAGGCTCCTTGTCAATTGGTTAACAATATCAATAAAAATGTCTAACATTTATAAAGTCTGTTCACTTTCACATATATGAGATGTTTTTAATAAATTTTTCATGTCACATAAAAATATTTGTATAAAAAATTTCTTAATTCTAATAACAAACATCATAAATAATAAATGTTTATCTATAAAAAAAAATCAAACAATATTAAAGTATTTCCATAACTATTTCTATTGAGTCTTGCCCTCTATAACATTGAACATGGTAAGTAAAACTGTTCTTTCGTATTGTCCTGTATACTATAATATGAAACATGTCAAAGAATATCTTTCTCTCCTTAATAGATTGAGCCAGTCCCTTATTTTAAATTAAAAACAAACAAACAAATATTTCATAAGATAATATTATGTACAAAATTAAGAAAAACAACCCATGATATTCATTTGATATAAAATAGTATGTTTTACATGGAAGCTGGGATCTGTGTTATGGCAAAGCTTTGATCTATGTTGCAATGAAGCTTGGATCTAAGTGATAAAGAAGCTTATTTGTTTGAATTACTGAACTCTATACTGATATGTCTCTTAGGTTTATCATTTAACTGATTCAAAAGTTCAATCAAGATAGGCAACATTTTTGAGAAATGTGAAAGCAGTTATAACATTAAGGTGGTACATAACACTACAGGGAGATAACTCTGCAAAAATCAGCTGAATGTTTTAATCACGTTCTATTGTTAAGGAAATATAAAGCTTCTCAATGATAAAAATTAGTGTTTGTCGAACTGCTATATATCCAATGAAATCTTTCCGATAAAGTGTGTGGTTCAAGTTTTTTGAAATTTTTATATTTTTGTCAAAGGGTCAAAGTAAATATTTTGTCAAAATTTTATGAAAATTAAACGAGCCAAATCAATTTTAGTCAAGGTGTTTGGTACCACCTTAATACTTTGTAATTTGTAATTTTTGAGAAATGTATATGGAGTTTTTAACTAGGTCATCATTCTCACCTTAAGTTTATGTTTAGAAGTATTGTAAATTCAGAAATTATTGAGAGGTTTTTATTATTGCCAATATTGTGACAGGGGTTAGTATCGCAATTAATAGGAACTTGCATTCTGATATTCTTTACATATATCTGTATGCAGATTATCATGAAATTGCAATAATTAATCTCACATTTTTCTCCATTCTTTAAAAAATCTCAATAATAAATGCCCACAATAATTTCTGAATTTACAGTAGTAATAAAACAGTATCTACACAGACAAGATTTCTTTTTCCTAAGACTAGAATACTTTTATGGATGTTGTCTGGAGATTTGCCTGAACATTTCAAATAAGCCTAAACAATGCTGATATAATTTTGCCCATTGATTTGCAAGCCATTCTGTTTACACATATCATTTGTTTACAAACAAATATGACAAAGATACCACACAATGATTGATGAATATAATTTAAGATTTTTACAATCAGTATATAAGGCACCTTCATAGAATAGTAATTTACATATTTAGCAATGGTTTAACACTTTCTGTAGTCAAATAATGCCACAATTAATCTATTCATTAACACCATGATTTCATTTTTTTTTTAAATAAGGAGAAAAATTTGGATCATATTTTTAAATATCAAAAAATTAATTCTGTTCCTTTATGAATGTACATTTGGAGAACTTAAAAATTAATTGTGGCATGATTTGTATAATTCCAAGGGTAAATTGCATGGTTAACACCAAACATAAGTGTAATATTAAAAGGGTCATCTCAAAATTCCTCTTAAGGACTAAAGGGTTGGTATCAAAAATGTTTTTAGACACAATTTCATGTAAGAGAACTTTAAAGATGACCTTTTAATGCTGCAAATGCTTCCTTCCTATTCAAACATTGTGACAGATTCTTTAAGAGGTAAACAAAAATATGAAACTAAATTTTACACAAAACCTACTCTTTTTACTGATAAAATAAGGTAGAACTTTACAATGTAATCTGCATACATAATTAGACAGAAGAAAGGTTAAGAAAACTATCGCACAAGAACATTTCGTTAAAAATTTTATATAACTAAAATAGAAACATTATAAAAACTATTAAAATCACAAATCTGTCGAGGTAAAAAATCATCTCAGTACACTCAATCTATACAACATTCCATTCTCAAGTGCAGTAAATTCTAAAAATATTCCTATTCATCAAATCTATCAAAAAGCAGTAAATTCTTGGGAGTATTTCTACTGGTCAACAAAAGCATTATCAAATTTGAATTTTTGTTTACTGATTTTTTTGTTCGGTCAATATATTTATGCCTTATTTTGGCTGAATTTTTTTTTTTTTTTAATTGATAGAGGAGACAATTTTCACTGTCAGAAACACTTGCTTAAAGCTATTCATATTTTAGAAAATACTGCACTTAAATTTTAACACATTTGCAATCTGTCAAACAGTGAGCATGGGCTTCCTTCCTGCGACAAACTCTGACACTTATACCATGCCTATTTCTGTCACTAATCTCCAACTTAAGCTTTTTTCCTTAGCCTACTCTTGTAAATTGTTGTGTATCTCATAAACTGTTTACTTTTGGGTTGCTGTCTAATTGATATATGCCCCACATATTCTTATATGGATATTAAAAGAGAACTGGTCAGTCAGATAAAAGAAATATTACCAACACTTTGTTTTTTCACAAAAGCTAGTAATTATGATGCAGAATTTTCTAAATTTGTTCTAGTTACTTCCCTTGTTCTAGTTACTCCCGTTTGGATGATCAATAAGATATTCTTGTTTACCTGAATTTTGATTTGTGTTCACTTCACAAAATGCTTCACTTTTCAAAATGAATAGTTTTTCTCGTCATTAGGTTAAAATCCTTTTAGAGTAATCAGACCTAAAAATTGCTTGACATGGTTATGATATAAAGAATGTTTACTTTACTGTACTATGTTGTTTGAACTCTCAAAGATGGAGATGAGGCTTGGAAAATTTAGCAATCAAGCCAGTGACATAAGGATTTCATTTGCATATATATCAATTGGAAATTATCAGCCTCTTTGAACTTGATGTAAGCAATGACAACCAGTCTGATATTGGTATGTCAGTAGTTTAAGTCTCAGGAAGGAATAGCTCTGTTCAGAAGATTGACATTTTTCGATGTATTTATCTATGAAATAACATAACTACATCACTTTTCACATTTGGCACAGTTTAAGTACCTGTCAAGCAGTGTGAATGCACCTCAACATTTTTTAATAACATGCTTTTTTGCTTATTGAAGCTATGTCACATGTCACAACCTTTATAAAATTCCTATGTCCAATCCCATTGCAGCTTTCTATTCACTGCAGAGCAGCTACTTCCTGTGATGGTAATTCTTCAGCAAAATATAAATTTTCTTGCATATACAAAACTGAAAATAGCACTCAGTTAATTAACAATTATCACCTTGTAGTTAGGGTTTTCTCCTTGATATCCAAGGTCAATTAGGGTTTATCACCACAGTAACCACAATTAGGGGTGTCCACCTCTGTAACCAAGGTCAAATTAATTAAAAAGCCTATACTAGGAAGAGTCTGTATTTTGTGCATTTCGTAAAAATGTATAAACATTGTCCACTTTTGCTAAAGCCTCAAAAAATGGTATAAGGTCACGTAATTCTGTATCCTCCATATCATCAAACCAGGACTGTACAGGCACCTGTAATATGTTAAAGAATGGATTAAAATCAAACCAAATCTGTACAGGTAGCTGTGAAATATTCTACAAAGCATAACAATCAAACCTAGACTGTACAGTAACTTGTGAAAATTATGTGATAGGTTAAAATTGAACTCAATTTGTACAAAAATCTATGAAACATTATATATAGCATAAAAATCAAAGCAAGACTGTACAGGTACTTGTGAAAAATTATATACTAAATTAAAATCAAACCCAGACTGTACAGGCACAAGAATTATAGCATGTATTGAAACAGTATAAAAACTCTTTTATATTTCTGTTCAATTGTTTTTAGTTTACTTTTTAACCCAAGTTTTTCCTGAACATATATATATCTGGAGAAGTTGGAATTTTCATTTCACTCAACTCTCAGTAACAACTTGTTATTAAATTGTTTTTGTTTTATCTATTTTGAGGTCAATCAACTTGTTACTGACATCACAACAAATACTACCTTTATCACGCTTCAGTCAAAATTAATTTAGTGTATGGTCAGTGACCTATTATCTTCAAAGGTAGACATTAAAATTCTGGAGTTATCTCCCCTTCAACTTGATCATGTTTATACATTTTAAATGGAAATTAAAACTTTTTTATCTACTAGATAAAGATAAAGTTTCACAGAACTTTCTTTATTAACATCCCCAGATCAGTATACAGTTGATTTTTGTATCATGAAATAAGTTTTGGTTAAATATAAATTTTTCTATTGTACTTCACAAGTTAGTGAACCCTGAAACAAACTTGACCATGCACAGAATATGAAACATTTTGATTTTTCTCCTTTCTACACTCCCCCACTTAACAAATACTTACAGCATTGTCTGGATGGAAGATATAGAAACATTTAGATTTTTCTCCTTTTTACACTCCCCCACTAAACAAATACTTACAGCATTGTCTGGATGGAAGATATAGAAAAAATTTGATTTTTCTCCTTTCTACACCCCCCCCCCCCCCTTCCCCCACACTTAACAAATACTTACAGCATTGTCTGGATGGAAGATATAGAAACATTTTGATTTTTCTCCTTTCTACACTCCCCCCACTAAACAAATATTGTCTGGATGGAAGATATAGAAAAATTTTGATTTTTCTCCTTTCTACACTCCCCCCACTTAACAAATACTTACAGCATTGTCTGGATGGAAGATATAGAAACATTTTGATTTTTCCCCTTTCTACACTCCCCCCACTTAACGAATACTTACAGCATTGTCTGGATGGAAGATATAGAAATATTTTCATTTTTCTCCTTTCTACACGCCCCCACTTAACAAATACTTACAGCATTGTCTGGATGGAAGATATAGAAACATTTTGATTTTTCTCCTTTCTACACTCCCCCCACTTAACAAATACTTACAGCATTGTCTGGATGGAAGATATATGAGGCAGGAGAATTATCTACTATCACAACTTGGCTTAGTTCTCTTCCTAACCGACTTAAGTCCTGTGTAAACCAGAAAATTATACTATTACTTCAAAAATATTTTTTTCTTCTTAAATATGTAAATAAAAGAATTAAATCATCTTTTGGTAACAAAAACTATGCTCTGACATGTGTTGGTGTTTGTTTTTCTCATTTAGTTCCCATGTAAGTTTTCTTTTTTCTTTGTTTTGTGCTTTTTTAATATGCGTTTTCTACCAGATTAGTATTGCCTTTTTCTTGTTTTGTTGACTATTTTCTTCTATAAACTTCTTACATGATCTCAATAGCCAATAAATTGCAAAAAGATACCCAGCAAAAAATTTGAAATGTGAGTTTTATTTTTTTGTGAAACCTATCTAGTTTAATTTTTTCAATAATAAAACCATTGCAAAATTTCTGAATTTATATAGTATATTTCACAATCTTTCTTGGTTACTTGAACATCAAAACCAATTCTCAATTTTGAACTTTACCATTTTTACCTTACAAACATGTACATCAGTATTTCTTCTGAACATGATTACTGTAAACCAACTAATTTTCGCGAGCAATTTATTTCCGCGACTTTGGCAAGTAGAAAAATAACGCGAATATAAATCGTCGCAAATATGTAAAACTTGGATCTTTCCTTATTAAACTACATCAAGTCAATTAGAAAATCGCGAAATTAAATTGCCGCGAAGTGGATAAGAAAGTGTTGAACGCGAAATAAAGTATCCGCTAAAATAAGTTGGTTTACAGTAGTCCCATCTACATTGGATAACAGCAATATAGAAGGTAATCAATTGATTAGCTCTCAAAAATGCTTTTTCCCTTTGAATTGTTTCATATTTTGTCATGTCACACCTTTTATAGCAGACTATATGGTATGGGTAAAACCATTAAACAGCAGACCATATGTTGACCTCTAGATGTGATTTGTGTGTCATTAGGTTGCTGTCTCATTGACATATACCAAATACTTCCTTTTATCTCAGACAATTTCAAATGTTAAATTTTAATACATGTAATACACACCTTTACATAATTCCCCCGATGAAAGACACATGATTCCCTGAAGAGACGAGACCTAAAAACTCCCCATTTATCTAGTAAATCAGCTACAGGATCCGCATACTACAAAAAAAGAAGAAGAAAAAAACTCAATTTTTATCAAAATTTTATTTTATTCATGTTTATCAATAATCAATTTTAACATAGATCCACTTGATTTTCTTAATCAATTACCATTTTTTACCGACATTCTGTAATTTTTAATTTGATTTTGAGGCTGTTTTGAATTAAGAATGCCATAGCCCAACAAATGTTTGGTAAGAAATATCGAATGAAAGTTCAAATTTCAATCTTTAAAACATATTGAAGACCAGTAGATTTTGATAAGAAGATGAATAATGACATAATGAGCAGGGTTTTTAATCATGCTTGTTCATATGTGAACACTCTGCACAGAAGCTAGTCCCATCATTCGAACTTCAGACCAACCAGTCTTACATCAGGCAATTGGTCTTCTCATTTAAATTGTTTTCAATTTGTCATTTCGGGGCCTTTTGCAGCTTGCTGTGTGTTATGGGTTTCTCTCTTAGTCGGAGGTGGTGCTGTGCTGACCTGTGGTTGTTGACTTCTATCTCATTTGGTCTTTAGTTGAGAGTTGTCATAAGCAATCATACCACATCATCTTACTTTTATATTTGAACTTTTATATTTGCTCTTATTTTTGTATTAAAATAGCAACATCAATTTAAAGTCTTGGGTTTGACCCAGCATGAGATTAACCAAACCTGCACTCCAAGAGAATATATGCTAACATAAAACCAGCAAGGATGTTACGATAATTTTATAACTTATCCTTATAAAGTGTATCAACTTTTTTGTTGTTATATTTATATCAGAAGACTTAAATTTTCACTGTCCAAGCGACATATGAATGAAACTTGTGCAAAATTGTTCTTAGGTTGCTGTCTCACGGAGTTTTATCCCATATTTATTTGTTAAAATTACATTTTAAATATTTACGGCAGTATTCATCAATATTAATCATTTTTAGTCGATGTAACTTTGAGATTGTTTGTTTATTTTTTTTTTGTCTTGTTTTGTTTGTCTGGTCTTTGTATTACCATGTGGATTTCAACAATTTGAATTTCTTCTGATTGCCTGATATCTCAACTTAGTTAATCACCAGATAGACAGCTTTATTTCTGGTCAAGCGTGCTCAAATTCAAATATTTAGAAGCAAGTAATCCAAGCTCGAATAAAATAAAAAGTGCACCAAAACCTATCTAAACTCCATGTGTCTGATGGTATTTGTTTGTCTCTGTCTTATATAGTTGTCTGTTCTTTTACTGCTGTATGGATTTAGACAAAAGTTTTTCTTTTCATAAAATGTTAAGATACTAAAGCTAAGTTGATCACTATATGCTATGCATATCTATTAAACTACATTTCTTATCGTCAGGACTAAAAATCATATCGCTTATATCTAAAAGTATCAGATGTTTAGGAGCAATTTTTCCTTTACAAAGTACACCAAACTCTATGATGCAGTCATTTCAGTACGCCTCTGGTTTCTACATAGTTCTTACTTTTGCTAAACTTGCAGTAAACAACACACATTCAAATAGTTCTCCCATTTTCTTTAGGTACTCATCTACATAAGGCCTCTTTAAAACATATACCTGGAAATAAATAAAACAAAATTCAGTTGGTTTATGGAAATTCATTTTAAATTCATTTTCACCTAATTTTCTGCTATGTCTGTTATGTCTGCTATGTTTGTAATGTCAGCTATGTCTGCTATGTTTGTTATGTCTGTTATGTCTGCTATGTCGGCTATGTCTGTTATGTATGCTATGTCTGTCATGTCTGTTATGTCTGCTATGTCTGTTATGTCTGTTATGTCTGTTATGTCTGCTATGTCTGTTATGTCTGTCGTGTCTACGTGTCTTTTGGAGAAGTGATGTTGATTGCAGTTTTATGTTTCTTTTAAACATGTTCTATATTTTACAAACAAAAGTGAACCAACGCCTGGTAAATCTGTAGTACGGTAGAGTCCCTGAAGTGGATACCTCTGGTATGCAGGGTCGTTATGATAAAGCACATACAATGTAGAAAGTCTTTTAACAACAACACTTTAGGGACTGCTGCAGAAAATTTATTGATCTATATGTTTCAGTGCCTAAGGCATCAGGATCCTGATAGGCAAAGGACCGACACAATTTGGGTATTTTGCAATAGAAAACATGATGTTTATTGCATGTACAATATGCATGTTTCAACTAAATCCTTGATTTATTTACCATGGCCTTACTACAATTATAAACATCTATTTGAATGAAATAATACTCTCTCCTTTTATCTCTATTATCCAACAAAGAAAGTATAAAAACAACATTTCACTGGTACCCATTGTTAATCAGTAGACCATAAACTAGATAGGATTACTGTATTATTCAATAGATGACACATTGTCTACTGATCCTGAACTGGGATTTACAAATATATCAGGAGATATCTACACTACACACCACTTCCTTAAAAATGAACAAACAAGATGAACCTTGAGCTATGCTCACTTACAATACCCCACCCCCTCCCCATCCTCAATTCTATTCATTTAACAGGCAGTATGAGTGATGAATGTGAAAATGCACACAGTATAGAATACTGTAATTTCAAAAATTATTGCGAGGTTTTTATTAATGCGAACTATGTGACTGGATGAATATCGCAATAATAAGATCTCGCATTCTGATATCGGACACATATATATATATATATATATATATATATGCATGAAGCTTTTCCTGAAATCGCAATAATTAATCTTGCATTTTTGTTCAGTCTTCAAAAATCGCAATAATAAAGGCACACAATAATTTCTGAATTTACAGTAGTCAAATGATAATTTATTAAAGATAAACTGTATCTACCCAAAAGCATTCAGTTAACAGAAAGTTGGTGAGTGATGAATGTGAAAAAACATCACACAGTACATTGCATTATAGAATAGTCACATGATAGTTTGATACATTTTTGTACTATATCTTTTATATTTGTTTTTTTGCGTATTGGTTGGGGTACTTGACTCGGCTTGGTTTAGTGAGAGGTTGGATGAAATTGCATAAACAATGTCATCCATTGCTTGGCTGATTGTTTTTCCGTAAATTTAGTTAAAGAAATTACATTAGACATTTGCGCAGCCTGTACCAATGGTTGATGATTTAGGAAGCTCAAATTCATAGTTCCTGAGATAAATGTGACAAAAATTTCAAACACTGCCATGATATGAAAGAATATACTGTGGGTTCATTTATTTTCGTGGGTACCAATTTTCGTGGATTGTTGAAAACTTGCATTTTCGTGGATATTTAATTTTGTGGCTTTGGCAAAGTTTGCATACATTCCTTTATAAAATTTGTAATAAGTTCATTGAATATTTAAATTCGTGGTTCCCCAGTACCCACGAAATCCATGAAAATTATCCAACTATTGCTAACATGAAGTTTGATAACAAATTACAGGATGCTCTGTGGTACTCTCTACATGAGGCATCAGATTTAATGTTCTAACGTTGACTGATGGTCGGAAGAATACCAAGGTGACCATATTTCTTTACCCCAGTTACCCTTGGGATGAAGAAGGAGAGATTGTAAGAGGGTATAGAAAAGATACACAGGCAAATCCAGTAAATCTTTAAAACGAGGGAATTCTTAAGTTCCAGTGTTATAATTACTAATATATTTACGCTTTGAAAACATTTATTGAAAATAGAGGTTTTGGGACAAATATTTCATGCATTCTTCCTTTCTTGCATTTAACATATCAATAAAATATATTAGCAAATTTTTTTTTGATTTTTTTTTCTGATGTCCAACATGGATAAAACTTGTTTTGGGGTCAGTCAAATGCCAAAACAATTTCTTCTTATGTGAACTATTGTCTTAGTTTATATGGTTTATTCCATTAATCTTTGAACTAATTATGTAAGGTTTAAAAGTTCTATTAAAGTTACAGTCAACCTATTATAGAATCTTAACTCGACAGACCAAAACAGTGTGACCAAATGTTACAACATGATATTTCACTGTAAAAATCAATTTATCATGTATAGACTTTCGCCGATAAAGTATTTGTATAAATATCGTGTATTCAAAAGACTTTAAATGGATACAAGTACTTTTAAACTTAAAAATCTGAATAATAAATAACTTCAGATTTGAGTTGTATTATATTTCAATACCTCATTATCTTGGTATAAAATCTATAACAATGTAACAGAATCTTCAATACTCAATGGTAAACAAATTTGCATTTTTAAATAACTTATCCCTTAAATTCAAATCTTTACTTATGATTTCAAAATAACTTTTCACATAAAAGTTTCCTGATTGCAGTCATTAAAATAAAATCTACGAAATGGGCAAACACTTTTATTTGAAATAGTTATCTGACTCTCACTTATTTTATTTATAACACTCTCTTCATGGAGGAAGCAATTTTATGGAGTAAAGGGAAGGATTCCAATGTGACATAGCTGCTGATGTTTACTCTTGGCATCTTTATACAGGAAGTTGTAACTAGTACGGGGGTGTTTAATGACCTTGACTACCACACGGGACTTGCAAAGTCGGAAGTGGTTATAGAATTTCTAACAATAAAAACAAAATAAAATTTGAGAACAACCAAATGTGACACATTTGAAAACAAAAACAAAACAAACAATGTAGTTTGGAGAAATTCAGCAAAGAGTCAAAGAAAGAAGTTATCCCAACTGATCTAAATCTTGGACAACTGTTACTCATTGTCAGCACCTGTCACTGTATTAAGTAACGTTTGGACTTGTGCCATGTTTGGGGGTATTTAACAATGATTTACCTGGGAACAGTTACAGCAGATTCCATTGAGTGTGTAGCCAAAGGTAATATCTTTGGTTAGCTTGCTTGTTAGCTGAACCGTGAAGTCATTATTTGGTCAGGTATACTACCCTCCTTTCGAAGTAGCATAGTCCAACAGACAGATCGATTGGTTTTCTGTCGGACTAGTCTATTCTTAAAGTAGGGTAGTTTACCTAACCTAACAATGACTTCACGGTTCAGCTAACAAGCAAGCTAACCAAAGATATTACCTTTGGCTACACACTCAATGGAATCTGCTGTAATAGCCAAAATTTTTACACTCCAGTCATTTAAATTGTAGAGGGTGGACATGTTCTACAAATTTGTATTGTATTTCTAAATGAAATGCTCTCATCAATGTCCAGTTGTTCTGTTACACCACTTTTACAAGCTTAGGAGAAGGCTGAGTGCTCAAAAACATGATAAACATGTGTATATTATATTTGTTTTTCATTTGTTGCTTTGTACATAAATTAAGCAGTTGGTTTTCTCGTTTGAATTGGATTACATTTTGTTATGTCGGGGCCTTTTATTACTTGCTGTGCAGTATGAGTTTTGCTCATTATTGAAGGCCATACAGTGACCTATAGTTGCTACATCTATATCATTTGGTCTCTGGTAGAAAGTGGTCTCATTGCCAATCATACAACATCTCCTTATTCTATATTAAACATATCAAACCTGCCATATATTCCTTAGGCATCTGTCCAAAGCCAGGAGCCTATGTTCCAGTCGCCAGAATGCTATTTGTTGTATTTTTATTTGTTTTTGTTTTAAGATATTAGCATAAACCCGGTTGTAAATTTTCTTAATTGTATTGTTTCTTATTTTGTTATCTGGGCCCTTTTATAGCTTACTATACTGTATAGGTTTTGCTCATTGTCAAAGGTCACATGAATTTGGTCTTTTTGAGGGTTGTTGTCTCATTCACAAATTTATAACATCTCTTTATTTTAATATCAACATTTTTTTTTGAATGACAAAGATGGAAATGGACATTTTCCACAGGCTTATTTTCATATGGTCAGAATCAAAACGCCAATAGAAATTACAATTCATTTAAAAAGTTTGACAATCCTCCATGATTGCTCACCTGTGTGCAATGGTGTGAGTGGACATTAAGCATGTTAAGTAATTATATAAGCAACAATTAATCAATCAATCACCCATGAGACAGTGGGATAGAAAGCCAAAAACAGACTTTCTGTGTAGGAATCTTGGACATCGTTTACCCTAACAAAGGAGTAGCACTTATGTATCTACATATTTTAGGGAATCATGTAAATTCCTACATTAGGCCTTGAATCTGCTTTGTTTATTATTACATGACAACTTGTTTGTACTTTTGTGGAGAACTATACAAGTGTACAAGGCCAATAACAGACAACCATGACTGTTTTACACTCTATATCAGTATTTCATCACCTGATTTGACTCAGTTATTTTTCTCAGGATGATTTTGAGTTTGATGTAGTATGCTTGTCAACACATATTTGTTCCGCCTAACATACCATTCCCATGGAATCTTTGTTATATAATAAACAATGCCATAATATCTGCTCCTGTATGAACAAATATTCTATACCCTTTATTCAATAAGGAACAAATTCTGTAATATTTGTTCACTGCGAGCTACTGCTCACTGATGATACACCCGCCCAAATGTAAGTGTTCGGTAAACAGGAATTTGTTGAGTGATGAATCTGAAAACGCATCACACGGTACAGCTGACTCATATAAATTCTGAAACCAAATTTCAGAAATCCTTATGATGTAGTTCCTGAGAAAGATGCAACGAAAAATATTCATGGGACGGACGGACAGACAGAGGGAAAACAGTATACCCCCACTTTTTTAAAGCAGGGGTATAATAAAAAAAATACTGCAGTCGTCATGATAAAGTTTTGAATCTTCAGGCTCTGAATTTTATGAGTTTTAGTTGATTCCATTGGCCTGTAGAGATGATTTTTACAGGCCGGACAGCATTTTTAACAGCCTGGGCTGGTGGGCCTGTGGTTGAGCACAAAGACTGTTACTGAATATTTTTTCCAATTGGAAATTATGTTATGAAGGAACTTCTATTTCATGACATGCTGTATACATATGACCACTTGTACTCTCTAAAATTGGATTCATAAGTTTTAAGACATTTTTGTGCTGCTGGATTAATTGCTTATATTATATATTCCATTCAAGGTTGTTACAGAAATAATATTTGGTAATATATTTTATTTTCATTATTGTTTCAACATTAATCATGTTAATCAAAGTAGGCCATTTTGTTTTCCTCGTTTGACTTGTTTTACATTTTGTCGTACAGTATAGGTTTTGCTCATTGTTGAAGGCTGTACAGTGACTGATAGTGGATAGATATAGTTGTTTACATCTGTCATCTTGAGGCCTTTGATGTAAAATTGTTTCACTGCCATTCTTACCAAATCTCCTTATTTTTATAGACTGTATATTCAGAAAATATTGCGATGTTTTAATCAATAAGAATAATGCGACAGGGTGAATCTCAAAATAATAACTCGCATTCTGATATCTGAAACAAATATCTGTATGAAGTTTTTCCTAAAATCGCCATTATTAACATGATTAATCTCTCAATTTTGTTCAATCTTCAAAAATTGCAATAATAAATGCATGCAATAATTTCTGAATTAACAGTAATACTAGAATTTTTTTAAAGTATAGTTGATAAAAACACAGTGCTTTTTAAAAGACACTCAACGTCAAGTAGTTCATTCACTTATGTCCTCTTCTACTTAATTCATTCAAAAACATAACCACAAGACTTTATGAAGAAAGTTAAAGAGACACGTCTATTGAACCTCTTAAAACTGACTGAAGGAAAAGTTTTAAATAGGTCTTAAATGGTCTGTAAATATGTCATGTGTATTCTAAATCCATAATATGCCATGCCGATCAAAACCATGGAAAGTTAATATATATATGACAAGGTCATCATGGTCATGGGTTTATAATGGTACATTTTTTATGTTGACTAAACTCAGCCATTACATGTTGTCTGACCTACTTATTATTCCATTTGATAAGAAATGTATACAAATTATATTATTTCTTTTAATAGTATCTACTTATACATTATGTAATTTATCTATGCATCTTTAAGATGTGACCACAGTATACTAGTATCAAAGTGAGGCTCCCTCAATACCTACTGAGATTTATATACTAGCAGACAGTAGTCGAAATGACCTTGTTTTTTATCTAGCTTCTTGAAGTTGGAAATGTCAGAATTTTCTTATTCAATTTATTTTATAAAATATTTCTATTTGCGTTTTTTTCCCTGCAGTTACACATGTTACAAGAGCGATTTCTTACAACAAACTGCAAGTACATGTATTATGACATTGAATTTGCCTTCCTTGTGAAAATTTGTTTATATTATAACTGATTTGAATCTGATTGTGATAAAATTTCCACAAAATGAAAACCAAATTAAAAAAAATTTTGGGCAAGGTGTGAGATTTGGACCATTTGTTATCCATGGCCTGTAATTCAAGATCTACTTGACTGCCTAGTGCAAAATTAAAATCTGGTTCATTTGCAAAAAATTGACTGGACAATATACATGACATAAGTTTACTGACCTAAACATTCTACTTTTTTTTAATAAACAAAAATTCGTAAGGGTTCTGCGGAACCCAGTGTCTCGCCTACATTTGCTGTTAGTTGCAGGCTCAACAAAAATGGGGAAATAGTTATTAAAAATTTTCCTCTAGATACTATCTTTTGAGTGTAAGAAGCTTCTGTTCAAGTTTTGTAAGAATCCAGGATGGTTTATGAATCTAATAAATGTTTTAAAAACTTTAACTGCAGACTGTATGTAATGTTAACTGGAAGAAAAACTAAGTCCATTTATAAGTAATATACGGAAAAACAGGAAATATCTTTTATACCAAATTTCCTTCTAGATACTAGCTTTTGATCATAAACAAGCTTTTGTCCAAGTTTGGTACAAATCCAGGATAGTTTAAGAAAGTTATTAAAATTTTGAAAACTTTAACCACAGAGTGAATGTAATGTTAACTGGCAGAAAAAACTAAGTCCATTTATAAGTAAAATACGGATAAACAGGATTTTTTTTTTAACAAAATTTACTTTTGAATACTATCTTATGATCATAAACAAGCTTCTGTCCAAGTATGGTAGAAATCCAGGATAGTTTAAGAAAGTTATTAAAATTTGAAAAGCTTTAACCACAGAGTGAATATTTGTGGCCGCCGCCTCAGCCGCCAACAGAATGTAGGATCGCTATGTCTCGCTTTTGCGACAAAAATCGCAGGCTCGACAAAAAGTAAATTTTTCCAAACAAATGACATACATTTAAGGGCAAATATGGCAATGGATATCAGAGATATTAAGTTTGTACTGATGTCTGGTAGAGCAGCTTAATAGGCGACAGTAGCAGAGGCAGATTTAGAGGGTTTTCCAGGGGGCCCGGGCCCCCCCCTTTTGTGGGAAAAATTTGGTTGATTATATAGGGAATCACTGAAGCATGACTGGAGCTGACCCCCTCTTAGGCAGTCAGTGGGTCCCCCCTGATGAAAATTTCTGGATCCGCCACTGAGTAGTTTACCAAGGTTTAACAGTATATATATACATATATACTTACTTGATGAACTGTTCCTTCTATTTCAACAGGAACTATAAAATCTGCATTGCTGATTGGCTGAAAAATATACAAAAATCACTTTTGATAGCAAGAAAAAATAGCAAAAAAATTGTCAAAAATTATAGCTGGCAAAATGAATTGGTCATAGCTAGCAGGCAGGATAATGCATCGCATAAACTGACTATTACTGTTTTTGACATAAATCAGACCAAAGGTTTACTCTTTTGAATTGTTTCAAACTTTTCGTACATAGTCCTTCTATAGGTTACTATACAGTATGAGTTGTCCTCATTAATGACCTGTACTTGTTTACATTCTCGTCTTTTGGTTCTGGTTCATAGTTGTCTCATTGGCAATCATACTTTACATTTCCTTATTTTTATATTACTAAAAATTATACTTTTTATAAAGTTTCACTGATGGCCATAAACGCACAGGCCTATCTGCTCATTGTATGTGGATTTTTTATTAGTAGATATATATTGATGTGCATTTTATTCAGGGAATTGTCATTTTTGATAGTTGGGCCAGTAAATAATAAACTACCAATAAAGATGATAAATATGACAGTTGTAAAGTCATGATCACTGACTGCTCATAAACATGTCAGTTCTTAGCCCTATGAACTATTTTTTATTAGCATTTTAATTCATATCATCGATTTTTTTTCTGTTTGCTGAAATCTTTCCATTGATAAAAGTGATTAAATCTTCCCTTTATTGTTTACATATATGATAAAAAAAAATTATCAACTTGATCAAGGTCTGATTTCCTTTTCATTTGTTTACAATTTGGTCCTTTGAAATATATCTTCTTTTATTATATTATCATCGATGATGTTTGTTGCGTGTTAAAGTTTCAAGGTACAAAACTGAAAATTCACAAGGTTATACATGAACAGAAAGGCAAAACAAAAAAAAATGTGTGTTAGGGTTTCCTCTTGTTGATAATTAGGGTAGGTAAGAGTTTTTCTTTAATTTCGTTGAAATTTAGTTTTCATCGGTATATGGGGACAACCTTCAGTTTTGACACAATTCACAACCAAAAGTCAGTGGCAATAAAAACTTTAAGGTATAAAGTATTTTGAGGCATAGGGTAAGTAGATAACCTTTTATAATAACACAAAGAATTTTTTTATTTTTGCCTTAATTCAAACAAATCTAAAAACCCAACAAAATATGAACAGTATCGAAAAAATTATCCCCAAAAAATACAGTTGACCAGGTCCCTATGAGTCATTTTTTTTAAAAGTCTAGCTCATTTTCTAGGGTTCACAGACTTACAGACTCCTTTATTTTTCTATCCACAGGCCGTCCACCTCTTTTTTAATTTTCTTTAATGCAATAAAATAAGGAGAACTATATAATCTGTCAGCATAAGCCTGACAAAATATCATTATTTCCACATCTTTTGATCTTATTATTCATGTTATATATGTATACATGATATATATGTCATTAGAGTGAACATTTCTGACATTGTTTAAATACACTAAAATGATAATATCAGTATAGACAGTCAAACCAGTCTAAAGTATTACTAACCAATTTTCCAATCTACCTGTACATTTATATTAGTCCAAGATTGATCTGACCTCTGACAGCCTTTTAGCTTGCTTGGGTTGGGGGTTATAGCCCCAGCAAGTTCAACAAATGCTGTCAGACAGCAGAGCAGTCTCCTCGGTCTAATTGTTTATATGGTGTAAATTTATGGAGACAGCAAACCAACAACACAAATAATCAAATAAAATTAGTTTTTAAAACAGACAGGTGTCTAAAGAATGTCAAGCTCTAAAACATGCTAAATTGCCTTGAGTTTAGAAATGTGAATAAATTAACACACTTTTTTTCAGCTGTCACTACCAAATTCCTTACTTAATCTGAATACACAAAACACAGTGGAAAACATGGAAGAGGAGTGATCATAAACAGGAGAAGAAAATGAACTAGATTTTTTCTAATGATGGGCCCAATAAATGCATGAACATTTTACTCAATGACAACTTTAATGATTCCCTATTTGAATCAATAAATGGGTATACAAATGTGTACTGTAGTGTGTAGATATGACATGCCAAAGTTAACCCAAAATACTTTTTCAGATTGAGAAATGAAAGTAGAGGTGTTTTCACAGTGAACATTGGTGATTATTAGTGATCCACTCTGAAAGATCACTCTGTCTATCATGTATATACTATGGGTAATATAGATAATATATGTCAGGGCCATAAGTCAGAGTGCTATCACTCTAAATCACCAGCAATCCTCGGTTTCCCACTCAACACCAGCAAGAGTGATCTTTATATGAATAACCTTGTGTGTACAGTATACACATAAAAGATATCTGAAATTTTTCATGTCAAATGTGTATAATATAAATACATTATACTATCAGCAGTACATATATACATCTGCAGGGAGGCAGTACTATCAGCAGTACATATGTACATGTGCAGAGAGGCAGTTCTATCAGCAGTACACATGTACATGTGCAGGGAGGCAGTACTATCAGCAGTACATATGTACATGTGCAGGGAGGCAGTACTACCAGCAGTATATATGTACATGTGCAGGGAGGCAGTACTACCAGCAGTACATATGAACATGTGCAGAGAGGCAGTACTACCAGCAGTACATATGTACATGTGCAGGGAGGCAGTACTATCAGCAGTACATATGTACATGTGCAAGGAGCCAGTACTATCAGCAGTACATATGTACATATGCAGGGAGGCAGTACTATCAGCAGTACAACTGTACATGTGCAGGGAGGCAGTTCTATCAGCAGTACATATGCACATGTGCAGGGAGACAGTACTATCAGCAGTACAACTGTACATGTGCAGGGAGGCAGTTCTATCAGCAGTACAACTGTACATGTGCAGGGATGCAGTACTATCAGCAGTACATATGTACATGTGCAGGGAGGCAGTACTATCAGCAGTACACATGTACATGTGCAGGGAGGCAGTACACATGTACATTTGCAGGGAGGCAGTACTATCAGCAGTACATATGTACATGTGCAGGGAGGCAAAGACATAAACATTTAAAATGGTACAAATATTGGTTAAATGTATATCTAAAAGTTTGTTTTTAAACAAGAGGGTTTTTTTTATATAAAAAAATTGAAATCAGATACATGTACATTTCAGGTCTAAGAGGTTGATTGACACATATCTCTTGGGCATTGACCGAGACGTAAAGGTATTGTATGGTTCACTGGACAATTATTATTTACTGGCCTGAATAAAATTTCACTGGACATTCAATAAATATGTAACTAAAATTCCAAAATTTTATCAGACATCTTGTCCAATAAAATTATAATTTGACTGTGTTTACTGTTTACTGGTTTGGTACATCAGAGGTTGTCCATATGAACTCTGTGTGCAGTTATAAGAGATACTGATGAAGGCCAAATTAACTGTTAATGTTCATGCTATTGAGAGCACATATTTTAGTAGGTGATAATTGAACAGTATAACCATGATAACAGCTTACCTTAAATGAGCTATGAACTAATGTTTCATCCAAATCTATAACTACACATTTTTTATTTAAATCCTGATTTAAAACAGGCGCTAACAGATATTTTTCTGCATTTGTCTGAAAAGAAAAAAATAAGTTATTAACTATAATCCTTGTAAATAAATCTTGTTTAAACAGTGTATTTTATACCAAAATATTTTTTTTTCTCAAATAGTTGCTAAATATCTAACAGTGGTCATTTCCACCAAAATAAAGTATAAGACGTTACTTCAAATCTAAACTTTTAAATGTTCATGAAGGCCATACATAGCCCTATTAAGATATCCATACTAGGCTGACAAACATTGTACCTACTATCATGACTATAGTAACTCATATGATGGAAAATTCTTTAGAATGAGATGTCTGACATTTAATCCATAATACTTTTCAGGTTTGTGAATCTCACAGTTTTGGTTTTATAACTTTTATACTCTCACTCTAGCACTAGGAGTGGGTGTTATATCACAAAAACCTTGTCAAATTTTTATTCTTAGTTTATTATCGCAAGGCGTTTTTTTCGACAACAGGAGGTTGGCAGTTTGCTGTTTTGTTGTTGTTATTATTTTGGTATTAAGACTTACCCTTGGGTTCCCGTTTTCTTCCACCACAGTAGGTTGGCAGTTTGCTGTTTTGTTGTTGTTATCATTTTGGTATTAAGACTTACCCTTGGGTTCCCGTTTTCTTCCACCACAGTAGGTTGGCAGTTTGCTGTTTTGTTGTTGTTATTATTTTGGTATTAAGACTTACCCTTGGGTTCCCGTTTTCTTCGACCACAGTAAGTTGGCAGTTTGCTGTTTTGTTGTTATTATTTTGGTATTAAGACTTACCCTTGGGTTCCTTTTTTCTTCGACCACAGTAGGTTGGCAGTTTGGTGTTTTGTTGTTGTTATTATTTTGGTAATAAGACTTACCCTTGGGTTCCCGTTTTCTTCGACAACAGGATGTTGGCAGTTTGCTGTTTTGTTGTTGTTATTATTTTGGTATTAAGACTTACCCTTGGGTTCCCGTTTTCTTCCACCACAGTAGGTTGGCAGTTTGCTCTTTTGTTGTTATTTTTTTGGTATTAAGACTTACCCTTGGGTTCCCGTTTTCTTCCACCACAGTAGGTTGGCAGTTTGCTGTTTTATTGTTGCTATTATTTTGGTATTAAGACTTACCCTTGGGTTCCCGTTTTCTTCGACCACAGTAGGTTGGCAGTTTGCTGTTTTATTGTTGCTATTATTTTGGTATTAAGACTTACCCTTGGGTTCCCGTTTTCTTCGACCACAGTAGGTTGGCAGTTTGCTGTTTTATTGTTGTTATTATTTTGGTATTAAGACTTACCCTTGGGTTCCCGTTTTCTTCGACCACAGTAGGTTGGCAGTTTGCTGTTTTGTAGTTATCATTATTTTGGTATTAAGACTTACCCTTGGGTTCCTGTTTTCTTCGACCACAGTAGGTTGGCAGTTTGCTGTTTTGTAGTTATCATTATTTTGGTATTAAGACTTACCCTTGGGTTCCTGTTTTCTTCGACCACAGTAGGTTGGCAGTTTGCTGTTTTATTGTTGTTATTATTTTGGTATTAAGACTTACCCTTGGGTTCCCGTTTTCTTCGACCACAGTAGGTTGGCAGTTTGCTGTTTTGTAGTTATCATTATTTTGGTATTAAGACTTACCCTTGGGTTCCCGTTTTCTTCGACCACAGTAGGTTGGCAGTTTGCTGTTTTGTAGTTATCATTATTTTGGTATTAAGACTTACCCTTGGGTTCCCGTTTTCTTCGACCACAGTAGGTTGGCAGTTTGCTGTTGGGTTATTATTGTTATTATTATTTCCAAAACAACATAAAATGGAGCTGAATATATTGCGGTTTCTTGGTTTTTTCAGTTGGGTATTATTTACATTAGTCGTCGTCGTCGAACCTGCAAAAGAAGAATAAATGATAAAATTATTAATCATTGATCATAGAGTACACACTATACACATTTTAACTATTCAGTCATGTGTCAGTTTGGGCTTGGCATTTACTGTGGATTCATTTACTTTTTTGTGGGTACCAATTTTACGTGGATATTTGATTTTGTGGTTTTGCCAAATTCTGCATGCATTGAATATTTAAATTCGTGGTTCACCTGTACCCACGAAATCCACAATAATTGGTATCCCACAAATAGTAATAAAGCCTAAGTCATGTAAGTAATATCAAACTTGCCTAATTTCAATCAGAGTTCCTTAAAAAGAGTCAAGTCTGAATCATTTGACTAATAAAAATTTGATTATGTCAGACATATGTTGTTACAATGTCAGTCTAAATATCTGACATATATATGTTGTTACAAAGTCAGTCTAAATATCTGATATATATATGCTGTTACAATGTCAGTCTAAATATCTGATATATATATATATGCTGTAACAATGTCAGTCTAAATGTCTGACACAAATGAGTGAGTTTTTCAATAGAAATATAGGATTGGACTGATGAAAATGTATTTTAGATTTGTATAACTTAAGACAAAATTGTTTTCAAGAACTCTAAGGTACAATTGTATTAATTCACACATGTCTTCAGGTTATGGTACACCAAATGTCTTAAGGTGTCAGACCACCAATTCACTCCCTCTATTCATACATTACAGTCAGTTTAAATTGAGCTGTGAATTTTGCAATAAAAGTCGCATTATTCTCAGATAGGATTTTTTTTACTACAAATTGACCAAGGATTAAGAATAAAGCAAAACAAAAGGTTTCTGATAAACTTTTATGTCTCTTTAGGTGTCAGACCACCAATTCACTCCCTCCAATTTAGAACGTATGTAAAAGTAGCCCTACTCTGACACAAAATAGTGCTTTTGATGTCATTGTTTATTCAAACTAACCAACAAATTTGCAGAAATGAAACTTTCGGTGAAAGAGATATATATTTATATCATTTTGAGTCAAAATTTACTTGTCTATGAGTTTGCATTAAAAATTGAGAATTAATGCACTCCATAGTAATTAGTATACTAATTTAAGATTTCCAGAAAACCAGGGAAAACAAGGTTATTTTTAGTAGTACTTGGCTTCTGAAAGGCGGTTCTTTCTTAGAAGACTTTAAACATGGGTTGAAAATTGGCATGTAGAAAGGTGATACATGTACAATTTAGGATATACCTGACTTCTATGTAGTTAAACTTCGGTAAAATATTAAAAAAGCTGTGAAAATTGCAAAATTTGGTTGAATAGAAAGGGATTTTGAATTGGTAGTCTGACACCTTAAGGTGACTATTCTAATGTGGTTTGCCTATATCATGTATATTGTCTTCAATATGTTCATCTCATACCGTGCTTGTCCCATCTCAGGGTTATTTTTAGCAATGCTCATTTTCTTTACCTTAGATTAGTTATTGTTCACATTCTAACTAATGGAAGAAAACACAAAGGTTAATACAACTATGAAGTAAACCAAAAATAAGAATATACAAGTGGACATGAGGTGAAGGCCATTTCACAAGGACTTGACGTTATTTAAGAAAACATCAAATGATATCATGCTCAGCCTCTATTTACAAGGAATTTTGGTGAACAGCGAGGTACAAGGAACTTAAGTTTAAAAAAAAACCCTTGTACAGAATAAGATCTCTGGACATGAACCTAGCTACAAATACTAAACAGAAACTGTTGTCAAATGATCCTGTGATTATTTATTACACTTCCACTGAGAATATCAGAAAACTACCATTAAAATGACAATTGCATTTTTTCTTTCAGAATCATTACAGAGAGGGAAAAAACTTGAGAAGACACTTGTTCAACACAGTCTAGTAATAAGTGATACCACTCAAATATTGCATAACAAGCCATACATTACATAACAAGCCTTTCTCTATGAGAGTCTGGACGGGGTTTACAGCAAAGAGAATAATGGAACAATACTACAGAAACATTGGCCAAATAAATAAAGAGAGAGAAAAATAGGCCAAAAAGGAAAAGAAAAGAATAACGGGGTGTTAAAATATAAAAATAGAAAATAATTGGCAAAAAATATAAAGAATAGATAAAAAATTAAAGAATACAGAATTGAAGGACCCCCATCAAAACAGTTGTCTATTACAAATACTTGCCATAAAGTAACTTGAAGATTTCCCGTAAAAATTTCGACAACCCTGACCAACAACCAACATTTTTTATCACAGTTTTCCTCATATTTCATTCTTTTGGTGTGACTATAATCATACTGATTTTAGATTAGTCATATTCTTTATTAATATCACAACATAATACTTATTTTCTTGATTTTCTTGTCAACATCTGGCTAATATTGTGAAAAGTCCAATAATTATGTTTATACCGTACAATATGTTACATGTACATGTATAATGCACTTACATTTGTACTTCAATAAATAATAATATAAGTGTGCAGAGTTTTATAATGTACATGTTTTGTTTTGTTGGCATACTAATACATTTAAAAAAGATAATATTGTAAGATGCAAGATATGGTAACAATAGTTTTATAGACTACTTTTGAGTTAGTTGCATTTCATAAAGCCAAAACGATATAGAAAATCAACTGTGTCACGATAAAAAATAAACAGATACATGTAAACTTACTTTTAGAAAGATTTTATTTAATTTCCTAGCAAGCAACACCAACACAAATGTCCATTTTGATCTACAGTATTTGTTTAAAATACAACTGACTTTGCACGTGTACGTCAATCACGTGCAGCCCATGTTTTATTCGAATTAGAACATAGCTTTGTTTTCAAAGCAAAAGAAGAAGGTCATATTAGAATTCTACTTAATGCAATCTAACAACAAACATGTATATTAAAACAATGTGTATTAAAATTCTAATGTTCAATCAGTTAAGTTTTGCTTTCCAAATGTACAGAATTTTCAATATTATCTTTCATACAAGCATAATGTTTTGACATAGCCACAAAAGAACTGTTCCTAAAATACCCAGATTATCATCTTATAAGTGGAATATAATGAAATAATAAAATTGATTTATACCTTTAAAGGTTCTTAGAGATGCACATAAAACACAATTTAACCAAATTCTGACAAATTTACAGTGGGATGTAATATAGAACAGTCAACAACACTAAAGATGAAGTTCAGTTCTATGTTCTCAGCAGCAAGGACGTAACAAATTATTGCACAAGAAAGTAACTTTAAAAGAGAGTCACAGGAAACATAGTACATTGTAGTTTTTAAATTTACGATTAGTCAAACCTGTTATAGAGGTCACCTATATAAAGCAAAAACCTGTCTGGTCTGGTCACCCTATTCATGTCCTGATGTAGTAATACCTATGCATTTTGGCCCTCAATTCAAAACTAATTGTAATGCATTTCTGTCACGTAATGTTCATTTTAGCGGTATTTTTAACATTGCCATATAAGCGGGAGGTTTGGCTAGCCATAAAACCAGGTTCAACCCACCATTTTTAAGAAAAAATGTCCTGTACCAAGTCAGGAATATGGCAGTTGTTATCAAATAGTCCGTTTCTATGTATGTTGGCGTTTGATTTTGTAGCAGTTCAGTGTTTATGTTGTTCCATTGTTTTCCTCTTATAGTTAATGTGTTTCCCCTCGGTTTCGGTTTGTGACCCGGATTTGTTTCACTTAAATCGATTTATGACTATTGAATAGCGGTATACTACTGTTGCCTTTATTTAACCTGGCTTATAAGATCCATTTTCTCTGACCTTGAGAATTATCTTTATACACAGGTTTAACTGTATCTAATATTTGAGACGCCCCTAGGATGGGATCCTTATCACTTTAAATGTATGGTAAAATAATTTCTGGGACAAACCTTGATAATAATTCAACAACTGAACCCAGCAATCCGTAAACTTGTAAATATGGAGATTTAATTCACTGCGATACAAAGATATTTGAATTTTTAATGTACAATTAAGAAATATGATAGTACAGGATTAAATTGACGATATCTCTCCACTTCCAACGGATGTAATCGTAGATTTATTTCAGGTGTAAAGTTAAAGTTTACCTATTTATTTATCCTTCAGCCTTGGCGAAAAAATAAAACAGGTTTAATCATTTTTAGAATCCCTGGGATAAACTGGCTCCAGAAATGATTTTCTAGCCGGCTGTTTGTTTAACAAGATATGGTGACTGTGGTGGAAAGAGCTTACTATTAGGCCATTGAAAATTGAATGTTAATTTCCCCTTATGGTAGAATATTTTAAAGGCTCGGCAGGCAGGTTATATTTTTTATTTTATTTTTATCTTTGCGAAAAATCAAAAGAGGCACATGTAGTTTCTGCTCTACAGAGAATTTTTTCTTAAACAACTGACAAGAAATTCTTGAAAAAAAAACTTGTTTGACATCATATCTAGATTTATATTGTAAAAATAAGCTATTTCAAACTTTTAAGAATGAAAAATGAAACATTTGTTAAGAAATTATCAAGCAATAAAAGCATCACTGATAAATGTCTTAAATGAGAGGCTTCAAGCTAAGCTCTTGTGTTTTCATCTGTTAGAAAAAGAATTGACCTCGATGGGTAAAAACAAACAGGGTTGAGGAAAACCAACTATCTTTTTTGCATGGCCTTACAATTACAAACAATAGTGTCTTTTAAATTGTAATTAGGAGCAAAAGAAGAAGTGTTTCTAAGAGCCAGTAACCCAACAAAACAAAAACACCAAAAAACAAGATCTTGAGTCAACATATTGCCTTCAACACTTTGACAATGTCAAAAATACTTTTCCATTGAGGCACTCACATTTTTCTAATAACGAACAATTAGATGATTTTTATTATGACTTTTTGGTTAAAAGTGAAAAATGACAAAAAATTATGCCAGGGAAAATTTGAGTATTTACAGTGGACACGTGTCAATATGATGATAAGCCCCAAATCATATATATTCTAGATTTTTATCTGTATAAATTTTA